AATACTAACATAAGTATTGTTATGAATTTGTGATTTTATACAGATTGTGATTGAAGCAAATCAAGTATAAAAGAATTATTGTGGACCGTAGTGAGCCATACATATTGTGGATATTATAAAGTGTCAAGGTGAGTGCAATACATGCATGATATGGTACATAGATGTTTTATACATCGTGTACATAGATGTTTTATACATCGTGTACATAGATGTTTTATACATCATATACATAGATGTTTTATACATCATCTGGAAGACTTGCGATAAGTCGACCTTGTTTTATCAACATGAGATTTGATATGGAAGTTATTTTGGGTATGAATTGCCTTAATGTTTATACATGGTTATACGTTTCCATGGATGATTTAATTGATGACTATATGCCCAAATATGTTATTGAGGTTCAGTGGTATTAATGGCATGCCATATAGTATAACAACTGTAGAATTAAGTAGTACTATAGTGTCAAATAAGATATATAGTACAAGTCAGGTGGGTAAAACCCGACCTCAGCATTACGGTGCATTATTAGGTGAGCAATGCTCGACCTCAGCACTTTTGTGCAATATTTGACTCCTATACCGGGTTCCTCATAGATTGAGAATTGTGGGCAATAGTGGTGGATTTAGAGCCCATAGGGCGTATAGGGGGCGGGCTCGACAAAGTGGTGTCAAGAAGACTAGACTTAGAGTTTGTATGTTGAATGTTGGCACATTGAATGCTAGGCTGCTGGAGCTGACCGATGTACTAAGTAATAGAAAAATAGATTTTGCATGCATTCAAGAGACTAGGTGGAAATGTTCTCGAGCCAGAGAGTGTAATGGGTACAAGTTGTGGTATTCAGGCGTTGATAACGCTAGAAATGGGGTGGGTATCTTGGTATCCTCTAGGCATAAGGAAAATGTAGTTGAAGTTTGTAGATACCGTGATAGGATTATGATAATTAAGGTTATTATAGAATCGGAAGTGGTGAATGTCCTTTCAGTGTACGCCCCACACGTCGGCCTAGGGGAGGGGGAGAAATATTGCTTCTGGGATTCGTTAGATGATGTACTTAGGAGCATTCCGGAGGACCAAAGAGTTTTCATAGGGGGAGACTTCAATGGCCATATAGGTAGTGAAATCGATGGGTATGACGGTGTTCATGGGGGTTTCAGATTTGGAAGTAGGAACGAGGAGGGGCGTACGTTGCTTGAATTTGCTACTGCACACGATATGGTGGTCACTAACTCATTCTTTAACAAGAGAGATGTGAACTTGATTACGTTCCATAGCGTGGGACATTGTACCCAAATCGACTACATCCTGGTTCAAAATCGGGATCGGTGGACTTGCATTGATTGTAAGGTGTTCCCTGAAGAGGCATGTGCATCACAACACAGATTGTTGGTGTTGGTATTCCGAGTACGCCATGAGCGGAGCACTCATAGGAGGGTTAAACTTGGTAAACCTAGGATCCTTTGGAAGAACTTACATAGAGCGACATCTGATGACTTTAGGAGTAAGGTTTTGTCTCATTTAGGTTTTGGAACTACAAACTCAAATAATGCAGATATGTTATGGAAAAAATATGGAAAATTCCATCAGAGAGGTGGGCAAAACACCCTCGGTTATCGACAAGGAAGGTCAATGAACATAAAGAATCGTGGTGGTGGAACAACGAAGTCCAAACTAAGGTGAAGACAAAGCAAACTTGCTTCAAGGAGTTTATAGAATGCAATGATGACGAATAAAGATCGAGAGCTAAACAAAGATACAAGGAGGCAAAGCGGGAAGCCAAGAAAACAGTGGCTAAAGCAAAGGATAAGGCATACGAGGAAATGTACAAGAGATTAGACACCAAGGAATGACAAAGCGACATCTTCAGGCTTGCAAAATCCAGGGAGAATAGGAAAAAAGATATAGGTAGCATTAGGTTTATTAAAGACAACAATGGTGTTCTTTTAATGAAAGATCATGATATTAAGAGGGTTTGGGGTAGTTACTTCTTTGGCTTATTTAATGACGGTGCATTTCCCTGTAGAGATAGTACCGTTGATGTGTCAGCCGACCATCATACTTCGGCCAATGACTGCTCTACAAGTAGGATTGGGATTGAGGAAGTTAAAATGGCTCTTAGAAAGATGGGGATAGACAAAGTTGCCGGTCCAGATCAAATTCCTATCACTGTGTGGTTGGCCCTAGGAGAAGAGGGAGTTAAGTGGTTGACAAATATCTTTAATATTATTTTAGAGACTGCCAAGATGTCAGAGGAGTGGAGAGAGTCTACGGTGATACCAATCTATAAGAATAAAGGAGATCCCCAACGTTGTGGTAACTACAGAGGTATTAAACTACCCAATCATGCCATTAAGCTATGGGAAAGAGTGATAGAGGTTAGGTTGAGACATGTTACTAGGGTTTCGGAAAACCAATTTGGCTTTATGCCAGGCATGTCTACTACGGAGGCGATTTATCTACTTCGACGGCTTATGGAGAAATATAGGGAAAAATAAAGATCTTCACATGGCGTTCATTGACCTCGAGAAGGCGTATGATAGCGTCCGCCGCGATACGATCTGGAAGACCTTAGAAACGAGACGGATCCCAACTGCATATATTCGGGCGATTCGTGATATGTACTGTAGATCTACTACATACGTCAAGACTACAGTTGGCGACACTGAGGCATTCCCGGTGAAAATCGGACTCCACCAGGGGTTATCTTTTAGCCCTTACATCTTCGCCTTGATTATAGACGACATCTATTGTGCGACTCCAGACGGTGTTCCATGGTGTATGCTTTTCGCTGACGACATTGTCCTAGTTGCTGAAACAAAAACCGAGCTTAATAGTAGACTGGCTACCTGGAAGACTGCTTTGGAAGAAAAATGTCTAAGGATCAATATTGAAAAGACAAAGTATTTATGTTCAAACTTCAGTGAGAACCAAAACGTTGAAGATGTAGAAGTATACATAGGACACGTTCTCCACTCAAAGGATTGTTTCAAGTACCTAAGGTCTATGATACATAAAGATGGGGGTGTAGATGATGACGTTACACACCGTATAAAGGCGGGATGGCTAAAGTGGATGGCTGCTACTGGAGTTTTGTATGACAATAAGGTGCCTCTAAAACTTAAGGGAAAAATTTATAGAATGGCAATAAGACCGACGCTGTTGTATGGATCAGAATGTTGGGCAATCAAGAAGGATCACGTAAGGAGGATGGAGGCAGCAAAATGAGAATGCTTTGATGGACATGTGGTAAGACTCTGTGGGATATGACACCAAACTTTGCAATTAGGATGTCCTTGGGGGTGGTTCCTGTATCCGAAAAATTGAGGTAGGGAAGACTACGGTGGTTTGGGCATGTCCTTAGGCGACAACCGTCGGATGCGGTCAGGAGGGTAGAGTCAATTACAACCGACGGTGCCAGAAGGAGAGGAAGACCAAGGAGGAAGTGGGTAGACTGCTTGAGACTTGATTTGAAGGATTTAGCCCTTACCGAGGACATGACCTCTAATAGGAAAGTATGGAGACTTAAGACCAGGGTAGCCGAGTAGTGTGGGTCACATCATAGGGTGTAGCATCTCTGTCTTCTTTTAATGTCGTTGTAATAATTTCCACGACTTCTACTTTTTATACGTTTATGTCATTGGAATTTATGAAGGCTTAGAATTAGGGTAGCGGAGTAGTGTTGTCTTAGTTTAGGTTTTAACCCATTTGACTATATTCCTTCTTGTAGCTTGTTATTGCTGACTTCTGTGTATTCTTCTCTTCATTTTTCCTCTTTTTAAATTTAGCCGGAGTTATGTTTATGTCTATATGCATAGATTTTTACACAGGGATTACTTCCCATTACAGACACGCATATGAAGAATGCATATGAAGACTGTTCAACTATGTATTTATTTATTTATACATGCATTGTATTTTATCTTTATTTTTAATTTGCTCACTGCCGGAGGTCTTCCACGGAAGCTGCTCTCAACTTGACGTTGGGGGCAGCCTACTACCATAACTCCCTTTACCCTTTACATATGAGAATAGGGTTTTGTTGTTGTTGTTGTTGTGGTGATGGATAAAAATGATTTTATTATATTATGTTGTTTTGATTTTGACATGGAAATTCATGCATGAGTTGTATTGCACTATCTATTGTTTTAATTGCCTCACTAAGTATATACTTAGTGTGTGATGATTTTCACGCGTAGGTAAAAAGTCAGTAGTGGAATTTCAGTAAGACATCCTAAGATGTATTTTGCTGAAATTACTTGCTTTGTTGAACAAATTTGGAAACAAAATGGTAATTTTATGAGTTTTATGTATTTTGCTGAAATTACTATAGCATTTACTGTAGCAGTGCATCAATACACATTTTTATTCGAAATTTTGGTGCATCGGTATACTATTCACGTACTGTTGCAGTGCATCGGTACACTACTCACTGTTCACGATATTGTTCATCACTATTCATAAAAAATCTTTTGTCTTAAATTTGTTATAATGAATCATAATTCATATGATATGATAATTTTGATAATATCATTTATCATAAAAAGAAAATAAATTTTAAATCACAATTTTGAATTGAAAATAGTTTTTGAAATTTGGGTTACATCTATAATCTGTATAGGTATAATTATATGGGTTATGGGTGTTACAAAACTTCTTTATTCCATTGTTATAAACCTATATAAATAATAGCATCTTGAATCTGGAATTAGGTACATTATTTTTCTTTTTCCTTAAAAAAATTGTGATATAACTTATTTTTTAAGTTTTGAAAAGTATATTCCTGTAAAATGCGGTAAAATAAATAGTCCTCGGAAAAATTACCTTCCCTGCATCAGTTGGTGGTTTAAATGGGAGATATGCTAGACCATCTTGGGATTCCATTGGCTGGTTCAGGCTGCATAACTTGGTTGTACCTATTTTAGTTTACTGCAACTGGCCAGCAAAAACTCATTTATCCTTTACTTTCCTATGTGTCCTACCAAATGGTCCTCAATTTTGCAGACATTCAACGAGATACAGAAGTTGCTCAATAAAACCGATGGGCAGGTGGTTACCGGCTCCATTAGTTGTACGTGAAACGACTAACCTTGAGGACGCTGCTAGGTAAATTTGACTTACTTTTTCCTTTACTTCTGCACATTTTGATTGACACAAAAGCTCCATGCTTTCGTTTTTTTACTTAGGAAAGCGTTTAGATTCAAACCTAAGACATTCCCATATCATCCCACCACTCGAACCGTACTCAACTGCTCCCTTATATTTTACATTGTACTATAGGGGTGAATATTCAATCTAATCAAGTCAAACTTTATTTAAAAAAAGAATTCGGGTCCTGAAATTACGTTGTAAATTGATTTATCAAAATTTTCAGATTATTGCTCAAGACAAAATATGGTCGCCTTCCGGTTGTTGATATGGAGGGTAAACTGCTAAGTGAAAAACACATACATGTATGTAAGTAAACATAAATTTGGCGTAAAGCCGTGGCATGTTATGGTATATTCTGGTGTTTGTTAAGCTGACATCCGTGTGTTTTGAAGACGGGCATCATCACAAGGGGAGATGTTATAAGAGCTGCTCTTAAAATAAAGCGTGATAGCCAAGGATACAGTAATTAGGAAGAAACTCGTGTGAATGCCATAAATCCCCGCACGTTTGGTAAATGGCCAAAATTCTACATCAGAAGAGGCCAGCGTGGCATTTAGGATGCGTTTGGTTCACGGAATATAAGATTACTGGGAATAAAAGATTATCAGGGAATAAGATTACTGAATGTTGTATTTTGTGTTTAGTTGGTTTAGCAGGAATGTAAGATTACCGTATTTGGTTAAAAGAATAAAAGATTATTGGAATGTATATTTGAACAAATTATCCTTATTATATATTTTTTTTAACAAGTATTTAAATATTTATATTTTCTTAAAAAATTAAATTCATAAAATTTATATAATTTTTTTACAAAATTGAAAATATAAAAAGGTTTAGTGAAAGGGTAAAAACCCTTGAACTTCATATAAAATTTTAATTATAGATTTTTTTGTAAATCTAAAATAATTTAAGGATAAATTTATAATTTAACCTTTGTAGATTTTTTATTATTCAATGACAAAAGAATGATATTTTTGAGGAAAAAATTTAAGGGCATTTTAGTCTAAACGCCGGTAATCTAACAATACATAAGGAAGGGGTAATGACATTCTCGATAATATACCTCAAAAAATTCACTATTGATAATAAAACATTACCGAAAATGAGATTCATGACCAATCAAACGGGGAATGTAAATTTTATTAAATGAGAATTCCACATTCCCCGAACTAAACAACCTCTTAAAGATTATGAAAGCATGGGGCATACTAGTTAACTATGAATAAGACGACAAGCTAAAGAAGATATCGGTGTTATTTGCATTGCGAAGGAGGAGCGAGATTTGACAAAATTGTAACATAACATTACATACCAAACATGATCATTCATTTTCCTTTTTTTAATTTTTGTGTTGTGACCCTGTCCCACGTCCAGCGGGGAGAACTACATAATACCTAACTCAAAAATCTTATCACTAAAGTAGTTATAACGTTAGTGGTTAGTATGGCCACTCAGCACCCAACTGCCTCAATCTCTACCCCTCTGCATGTTCCCTTTCTATTAACTCTACTCCTTTATGATCATCTAATGCAATCAAAAATTTATAAAACACAAATATTAACATGTGGTATTTTAGAGTCAAAATTTTCACTTTCTTTTGTTAATTAGACAGAGAGTCAATTTCAGATAAAATCAATTTAATTTTAATTTTATTATATATGTTTGAAATTTGTGATTTTTTTAATAATATCATTTTCAAGATTTAGATTTATTTTGTTGTGAATATAGTATATTTTTTCATTAAACATATTATTAAAATGAATAAATTATCAAATTAAAATTTTTAATAATAATAATAATAAATAATAATGGACCAACTAAAAGTAAAGGGCAGAGAAGTCAGTATAAAAAGTAGAAATTACTCAAATTAGCACCAAATATACAATTATCCCCCGCCCCCTTTTTTTCACCGTTAAAAGATTTAGAACGGCATCAAATCCCACCAATGAAATAAAAAATAGGTGATCTTCCATTAAAAAACTAATAATTAATACAAAAGGCTTCATCATTCTTTCAGCTTCAGCTAGACTTACCTCCACAACACTGTGCACGATAGGGAGTGCCCTCGGTGCATTTTAGCAACCGCCCCCTTCCTTTATCAGGATAGTCGCCAAAAGCGACGGACCAAAAATTACAAGTTTGTAATCGTAAAAGCTGGAGGACCATGATTCAATCAACTTGCCTTTTCCCCCTGTATTATTTCCTTTCCCATTCAACATCCAAATCTTCCGGGTCGGGCATCTTGTTCAAGTCAACCCGATGTAAAAACCCGCCGGTACTTGGCTTAAACTCGTCGTCGTAACCATAAGTACGATGATGATGATGATGATGATGATGATGGTGAGCTGCCTCAAGAGCATCAACTCTAGCACCAACTTCGATAGCCTTTTTCCTAATAGAAGCAGCGGACAAATCGCCGAATTTTTCACCCGCCAAAAGGTCGGGAAAATTCAACCTAGCCGAGGGTCCACGGAGGTAAAAAACCGCCGTGTCATAAGCTCGAGCCGCCGCGACAGGTGTGGAATAAGACCCCAACCAAATCCTGGACCGCTTGTTGGGTTCCCTAATCTCAGCTACCCATTTCCCCCACTTCCTCATCCTTATCCCTTTGTACGGCCTTCTCCATCGTAGACTTCCTCGAACTCTCCCTCGAAGCAACAACGGCAGTTCCACTCTCCATAGTATTCGATAAATCCTAAGTTTCTCAGCTTTAGGTTTTATCAGAACAGAAGAAGACTGAAACTATGAAGCAGAATTGAAACGATCCGTGTCACGCGTTGAAATGTACTCAAATGTTTTTCGACACAACAGAGTATATATGTTGGAACGGAACACACACACACACAGAGAGAGAGAGAGAGAGAGTATAAAACAGAAATTCCAAATTCACCGACACAAATCTATTTGAAGGACTTGTTTATATATTTTCCGAATGTTATTATTTGGGGAAAAAAGAAAACGGGGCCAAATGCTTTAAGAATTATTGCTATATTTTCATTAATAAATAAATCAATACAGTCGTTTCGTAATTGGATTTTTAAGACCGTCATATTTTTTTCATAATTAGTGACAATGAACGGGTGTCATTAGGTGTTTGTTTAGCTAAGATTTTCACATTACAAAAATAGTTTAATCATTGATTAAATAATAAATTAGATTAATCATGTGAACAATTATGTAATTATGGAGGCGGTGATGGAGGGATTTGGCAATTGTCGTTTTGTGGGTAAGTTAAGTGAACTTCAATGGATTTGAAAAGGAAATTACATTAACCTTTCTTAATAAATTGCTTAATTTATTATTTTTGCTCTTTTGATTTTTTTCATTTATAGTTTGATATAATATATAATTGATGTTAAATTTATATATTACTTTTTAGAAAGTGTATATTTAAGATCCAATAATATATTAATATATAATAATTAGACTTAGTTTCATGAAAATGATGTTATCTTTGTTTGATCTGCCAATTTTTTTTGTTAATTTATGTATTAATTTATTAATTAATGTTAAATTGGTGAGTAGGCAAGCAATTGGTAAGGGGATAGGTTAGGTCGGTGCTGGGTCGGTGGATAGATACCGTTGGGAATTGACTTTCCTATACGCAATAACATTATTAGTCCATGACCTTTTTCGTCTTTTCAGAATCTTGTCTATAAAACATTTTACGGAAAAGGAAAGTAAAACTTTCTCCAGATTTATAACTTTCACTCACAGGTCCTCAGATTATTTAAGTTTGATTAAAAATTTAGGGTAAAGTACACAAATGGTCCCCTGAGTATAGTGTATTACTTTGTTTAGTCACTTGACTACTAAAAATTATAAAATGGTCCTCTAATTATAAGACGTTGCTTTGTTGAGTCCCCGACTATTAAAAGTTATAAAATGATCACCCGACTATTTATTATGTTACGAACTTGTCATTATCTGTTAAAAAATTAACGGCAGTCTAAGTTGGACGTTAATATGTTGATTGAGATATGACAAAATATGATCTCATAATCTAAAATGACTATCATAGCTCTGTCACATGTTAAAAGCCAACTTAGACAATTATTAATTTTTTAATGGAAAATTGTGAGTTTGAAACATAATAATAGTCAAGTAACCATTCTACAACTTTTAATAGTCGAGGGATTCAACAAAGCAATGTCCTATAGTTGGGGGACCATTTAGTAAGTTTTAATAGTCGGGGGACTCAACAGAGCAACGTATTATAGTCGAGGGACCATTTATGTACTTTACCCAAAAATTAATTTGTTTGATCATTGTTTATCTCTTTCTGGTATTAAGTTTAAGTATTTAATAATTGTATTATGAGTATTGGTTTAACAATATTGGTATATCACGAATTTCACTTACGATATATTCATTTATTGTGTTATTAATAAAATCAATTATACGGTTGAACTACCAAAATAAGATAAACTAAAAAATAAGATATATTCATGATTTTTATAAATAGGTATAAAACATTATTTATAATTTTGTGAATGTGATTGTAACAAGTAAAGTAATATACATTTTTTCTAAGCCTTAATATATGTTAATATAAGTCAAAATAAGATAAATTTGAAAAAGAATATTACAAAAAAAATACATAAAGTAAATATAATGTTTTTGTTTAGGATACAGTAGATAGATAGTTATTAAATTATGCTAAAATAATTTTATTATTATTAATTTTTTAAAAAATTGCAAAATAATAATTTAAATTATCGACTGTTATAAGATATTTATTATATGTTGTAAAATAATAATAAATTTTAATAATATTCTAATAACTTTAATAACTATTTTATGATAATATAATAAAACTAGATTATTATTTTATAATCACTTAAATAAATTAATAACTATTTTCTGATAATTTAATAAGACTGGATTATTATTTCATAATCGCTTAAATAAATTAATAACTATGTTTCATTTTTAAAGCTTTAATAACTAAAAAAATAATTTCAAATGTAATTTAATAAACATTTGTCTGTTTTACCTTTTGTGTACGGTGATTTGAGACGAAGATTGTAACGGCAAAGGTGTAGTAGATGGGGATTTGAGTCCACTTGAAAGACAGACTGCTAATTTTACAATTACCAGTGACCAAAATTGCAGGAAGCAATAACAATGGTCATATCCATAACTGTGAAATTGATTTTTTTTTAGTTCTGCCGCTTCCAGATTTCAGTTTTCTTAAATGGGTCTTAAATTCCAGATTAAACCAATCCACTTCTTTACACTGCTGCTAAATGAAAACCTTCATTAATTTTCGTATCATACATCAATGAACATTGTCTTTGGTCCATGATGCAGACATAAAAATCAGCACAAAAGCAACTTTCACTTGCAAGTTACATGTCTACTTGTATACGATAAACAAACACTTGATCCGAAACACGCGAGTGCAAAAACTGGTTCATAATCATTCAGTTTACACAAACGGGTAACTGATCATTTTACTAAATGTCAAAAGGCCTTTTTTT